CTGCTGGCTGGCTGCTGCTGTGCGGCTGTGCTGCTGTGCTGCTGTGCTGCTGCTGTGCTGCTGTGCTGCTGCGCTGCTGCTGTGCTGCTGCTGTGCTGCTGCTGCTGGGGAAACGGACGGGAACCCGCTGCTGCGGGAGATGTGCAGCCCTTAAAGCAGGGGGTGCAGCAGAGCGAGGGAAATCAACCCCCAAAATAGCAGCAGGTTTAACTCGGACAAAGCAGAAATATTCTGAAAAGCCAGCATGATGGGAAAGGCTGGTCTCTATTCCAAATGGCTTTTGTCTGTGGCTTCTGGTCATGTGCTGCAGCAATCCCCTAAACCTTCTCATTCTGAGAACCAGACAAACAAAGGCTCTCTCTGCACTAGCAGGGAATGGATTTATTTCTCTCTCTGTGTCTTTTTGGTTCCTCAAGCACAATAGGGACCTCTATGTGGGTTCATTTCCTGAGACATGAGGGCAATATCTCTGTTATCCTCACCCCCCCCCGAGCCATGTCACCCAACGGGGACCCTTGATGGGAGCCAGAACAAGGCGAGGGCTGAGCCTGCTCCTGTCCATGTGCTGACAGAGCTCACCGAGGGCAGCTGTGGTGCTGACTTGTCCCCACACACACGGGGCCAGAGCCCTCAGCTGTGGTGGCAGTTGGCTGTCCTGGCCTCATGAACCTTAGATGCTTATTTTAATGGTGGTGCCCATGTTCTCCATCACCCGATTTTGTATTCAAATCCCACTTCAGCTGATCCTTTTGCTTTTGTAATGGCCTGCTCATCCCACCCTTTTTTCTTTTGTTTTTCCCCCCTCCTCTCTGCTTTGGGATTCACAAGCCCAGCTGAGATGGGCATGTGTGGATGGTGAGAGATCAATGTTTGACAAACACTTGAAGAACTGTGCTGCTGTTCATGTTTCCTGTGGGACCTGTTGACCAACAACATCCTGGTCCACTCCCATGAGAGGGGCTTTTGAGGGTGAAGAAAACTCTCCCGGGCAATCAGAAAATGCCTCCTGCATATCAAGTTTGTATTTTGGGTGAGGAGCAGGAGGTTCCACCAGTATGATCAACCATCACACTGTTACTTGGGCAGGGATGTGGTGACTGCCATGCTGGACACCTACAGGTGGGGATGGAGAGAAACAGGGAGCAAACAGGGGAGGGCATGAATGGAAGGCAGTAGATTTTGGCTCCAAAAGGGCTTCTCTGGCCTCAGCTCTGATGTGCCCATGGGGCTTGGTCCCAAATGGCTGCTCAGATACTTGTCCCTGCACACGTGCAGCCCGGGACAGGGAGTGTGGAGCCAGAGGAGGGTCACACAGGAGGCAGAAGTGGGGTTGTAGGACAGTTGCACATCCAAAGCTGAAACATGTGAAAGCCCTGGGATATCCTGCCCTAGACACTGTGCTGCCAAGGGGTGAGGCTCCACCATGGCAGCTCCTTCCTTGCAATGGGTGGTGTCCACATCCAGGAGGTCTTTCTGGTGTTCAGGAGGTGACCAGTGCCTCGTTACCTCTGCTAGGACCTGGCATGAGACCCAGCACAGCCTCTGGCACACAGAGCGCTCTGTTCTGATCCTTTGCACTTCCCTGCCGCTGAGCTGCCCTCTAATCCCCCCCAAGGAGGGTTTTTTCTCTCCCAACCTTCTCCCAGTGCCTCTGTCCCCTCAGAGAGCGGTGGCAGGGGAATAATTTACTTCCTGCCACAAGCCACTCCTTCGGACCTTTCCTTTGACCTTCAGCCCGAATCGCCAAAATCAAAACACCGGGAGGGAGAGCAGGACAGGCTGCTTCCCGCAGCTGGAGCCTGGCACTGCCCTGGATCCCAGCTCCCTGCACCTCGCTCTCTGCAGGTAACACCAATTTACTTTCTCTGGGATGACTGTGACTTTTGCTTCTCTTCCTGAGGTCCAGAACCTGTTTCACAGGAGTAGAGGTTTTTGTAAAGGGACCCTGCTGGCCCAAGGGAGAGCTGCTCCCCGGGTCTGGCTCTGGCACAGCAGCTAGAAGCAGGGGGGGATATTTTCAGCAGCAGGTTTGTTTCCCAGTTGTGAAGGAATCCAGAGAGGAGACCAGCAGCCTCCTTGCTCCCTCTGGAAACACTGGATAGGTTTCTTGCATCATCTGTGCCTCCCCAGGAAACTTCTATGACTAGGAGCTTCCATCACCCTGCTTGTGTTTGCAGCCCCACACCAGCTCACCTCCCGTGGGGAGAAGCCACAAGTGTTTCCGACCCTGAGTAATTTCAGGAG